TGCGCGGAGCAATATTGGCTGGATCCCAAAATAGCTGAACTTCCCAAAAGCACGTCTGATGACATTTACTGGCTCTACAAGATCGATTTAGCCTCAGCAGCTCTGACCAAGAGCGGTATCGGTCGGTCAACAACACAACTCGTTGTTGATGTATTACTTAGTAATATGGAGAGATTGGCCAATGCAGAACCGTTTACCTTCCATCCTGAAACAAGGAAGCAAATCATGAATTTTACCAGTGAAATTTTGCGAACTAAGTTCTTAACCACAAGTGATCAAGTTGAAAACACAATTAAGCCGTACAAATATGAGGTATTACACAATATTCTCACCAGACTTTGTCTGCTGACGCGTCCATAGGTTGAGGTGACTGATATTGAGTGGGCTGAAGGAGTCAAACGCTCGGTTGCTTTGTTGGAGAAAGAGTTGGAAATGTGTGACCAGGCAGCTCAAGCAATCAAAAATAGCGTTGGCAAAAGGAAACTAAAGGGGGCGATCAATTATTTATTGGATACCGAACGTGAGGATAATCGACGACAAGAGCGAGTGCGTCAGATGGCTGAGGAAGGTTTCGGGTCGCACGAAGAGGTATTTTCGCCGGAGGATGAAGAAGCGGTCAAACCGTTCTATAATCCACGTCTCTTGGAAAAGGCGAAGGAGGCCCTGTTCCTACGTGACCGGGCGATGATTCTCAAGTACCGGATTGCTGCTTTGAAGAGTCGGCAATGTAAATCTGCAGAAAATAAGCAATACTGTCCTGAGGCATTTTTGAATGTGATTGCTGAAAAATTAACTTATACCGTAAGGGCAACACGACCGTGATCATACGGGATTTAAGTTTTAATCGTCTATTTTTTCCAGGCTGTCATGTTTATCCAAGTGGAATTACTTAATGAGTTCTTTTTCCAATTTCCACGAGAAGTGGATAATCGATTGGTCTATGAGATGAATCGCAAGCAAATCCAACAATTTGCAAGGGAGAATCCGCCTATCCAGAAACATTTGGACCTTCAAGAACGAAAAATGAAACTAGAAGAAGTCATGGACAAACTTAATTATCTCGTCAAACGCCAGGCAGATAGACAAGCAAGATCCAAGACGGGAACATATAGCTCATAACCCTTTCGTCCTTTTTTTTTTTGGTTTTGCAACGAATAACTACAATACCCACCCCTCTTCCTTTCTGTAATCTAGTATATAAAACTGCGCGTTGAATGGGAACTGGATTTTTTTTTCGATGGATACGGATCACCATGACGTCGTTGCCTGATTAACCGGAGATGCAAGCGGAATGTGATTTTCCCGCTCTGAGACAGGGAAAATTGACCCTGAATGGCAAAATTACGCTTTATTTTGCCCAATCAGTAAAAAGGACTTCTCTATGAAAATATTAAAAAGAGGGAGAAAAAGAAGTGATCGCTTCGCTTTTTCTTATTTTCTCTCTTTTCACACGCTTTTCCTTTATGCGACTGTTAAAATCTGCTTTTCACCGGGATCGGTCTGACGCATCATCCTCTTTATCCTCTACTCAAAATACGGAAGAATCCGGTCTATACCGTAAACCACAGTCTTCTTCTACCAGTAGCGAAAGTGTAACAGCTCATAGCCCGCGTCTCCAGTTCCACACAGATGGTTCCCACACACATCACTTGAAACGACCATCCACTGGTTTGTTATCCCTCACTAATCTATTGCACAAACCAGCTTTCCGTTTACCATTATTTGGGAATAAAAAGACGCCGCGTGATTCGGCGCGAGAGGAAAGGGAAGCGATCGATGCAACCTTACAACGAGTGCCTTCTGATGCGTCGTCCCTTGCACAAAAATGGGGGGTGTGCGAAAAAGTCATCGGAAAAGGTGCCTTCGGTGTGGTCAAAATAGCTCGCAAAGCAGATAGAACAGGTGAACGACTCTACGCCGTCAAGGTGAGAAAGTGTGCTTTTTCTTTCTTGCTTCTTTTTCTTTTATTTTTCCCTTTGGAAAGCAAAGAAGAGTTTTTCTTTTTTTTTTTTTTACTTAAAACAAGGAACTAATGTAGGAGCTGCGCAAAAAACATTCCGAGTCGACGAAGCACTACGTACAACGTCTAACGTCAGAATTCTGCATAGCATCGTCATTGCATCAACAAAACGTGATTGAAACACTCGATCTTCTACCTCTAAACGAGACATCATCAGTCTACTGTCAGGTGATGGAATACTGTGACGGCGGCGATCTCTTCAGCTTAATCTACGATTCAAACGGCGGTTTGGATATCACAGAAGCGGATTGCTTTTTTAAACAGCTCGCTCGGGGTATACGGTACCTGCACCAGATGGGTGTGGCTCATCGCGATGTTAAACCAGAGAATCTGTTACTTACGTCTTCTGGTTGCCTTAAGCTATCCGATTTTGGTTCGGCTGAGTGTTTCCTTGGCGATCATGACGAAGTGCTGGCTTCGAAAAATATATGCGGCTCAGAACCCTACATCGCACCCGAGGAATTTATTGACAAGTCATACGATCCCAGAGCAGTTGACATCTGGAGCTGTGGTGTTGTCTACATGGCCATGCGGACTGGAAACCATGTTTGGGAAGTAGCCAGAGAAAACGAAGATGAAAACTATACTCGTTATCTTCGCTTCCGGCGACTTGTTGACGAAGAAAGTGAAAAGGCACGGCGTCGCCGCAATGCTTGCAAATACAAATCCAACGAAGAAGAATTTGCGGACATTGTGCGTACTCGTGAAGAGATTCGGAAAAAAGCACAGATTGGCGGGCTGGATATCCTTGAGCATCTCGAGAGCAGAGCAAAAAGACTGATATACCGCATGTTAGATCCCAATCCCCGCCGGAGAGCTCGAATCGATGATGTTATAAACAATGAATGGATTGTAGCCACTATCTGCTGCCAAGCACCGTAAATATATGTATATCGCAATTCATGTATGTATCATAGCAGCTCCCACTCCTTATGTACAATAAAGCAAAGCAAAACAAAAGCCAAAAGGAAAGGGAAAGGGATCATTTGCATACATGCGAATTGGAAATGACTGATTTCGCGCAACAAGAGAATAAGACGGATGGAAGAACGTTGGATAGTGTCACTGCATGGCTTTGTGTGAAGGAAAGATTTACATGGTCAGATTGATCGGGCCATTTGCGTTATAGCCTAACATGAAATCTCGTTGGCGGGAAAACAGTGACCGTGAGGAGCATGTTTTATGACAAAGATAACTAGTTTCTAACAAGCTCCCACTCCTTGCGATGGTGCACTATACTTGCTTTTATTGTTATAGATTGGATACTGCTTTCCTTTTTTTTTTCTTTTGGTTTGCTCCTATGGCGCAGAAGGAGGCTGCAAGCGTAGCCATTGTACTCTTGGTCCAGTCGGAGAAAGCTCATTGACACGAAACCCAAATATCCTAGGTGTATAGGTTATAGGAGGATTTGAAGGAACAGCTTCTGGATACGTCTCGCATAGAAGGTGAGGGAAGGTCGTACCAAAATGGGCACCTAGATCAGAAGAAAAAATGCCTGCTTTCAGTGACTTGGATCCATGTCTGCGTTCAGTTATATTTACCATCTGTTGAATTATATTTCGCAGGAGCTGCATAAACATCTTTACAACTTGGGCAGTACAGTCGAACCACGCTTTGTTTTGGTATGTCGTGTTGACCACATGGCAAGACCTTCGATTGTTGGCAATAAACCCTTGGACAACTACCAAAGTCGCCTTTGACATATTTGGATAGCTATAGGTTACGTTAATGAAAAGAAAACAGAACACAAGTACCTTCCGCACTTACCATCCTGCGCATTCCGGGTCTCGTATTAATAAAGCGTTGATGGATCAACCCGTAGAGCATCTCGGCGTGTGGTTCTAGGATGGTCATGTCTGGGATCTTGCTGTACATATCGTCTTCTGGCTCAACATCCAGAATCATTCCAAGTGCTTCTTGATAGAAAGGTACATGAGCTGATATCCCAGTCAAATTGAAACTGTCTTCGATGAACTCCTCAGAAACTTCAGTATAAAATTCATTGCCTTCTAAAGAACAGAACCAGCTAATCCACTTTATACATGTAGATAAAAAAAAAAGGGAAACAAAATTCAAGTCAGGTCTAAGTCTGCATATCATTCTTTTTTATTGCTCATCAAATCGTTTGTTTTCTTTACGGAAAAGAAAAAGAAAACTGAGAGAAGAAGAGAAAAAACCAAAGTGATGAAAAAGAAAGAAATCAGAAATGCTTACCGATAAACTTCCATCATCGCCTTCTGTACAGGACGAATCTGTAAAAGAAAAAAAGTTGGACGACATTCAGCGTAGGGCGGCATGAATCCCATTTTTACTTACCCATTCGGTTATTGGTGTCTTCCATAGATCACACAAATTGGGGCAGCGAGAAAGGGAAAAGCTGCTTTTGAAGGAGTAGTCACAATCCGATTGGCCAAAGGAAACCATAAAAACGTTTTTCGTCTTTTTTTTTTACTTTGAAAGATGACCGCCACAGAAGCTACATTGCACAATGGACTTATTCTCAGCTTAATGACGGTTGCTCTTGACTACATGCAATATATTAAGTCTAATATGAGTAGACTCTTTTTGTTTAGTTCTTTTCTCTGCTTTGATGAGGACTTTCATCTTTGTTTTAAACATAAAAACATTACGGCCGTTGATCCTTTTAAGCAATGTGCAAGTTTTCTTGTTAGAAAATTAAATTAGCTTTTTTTACATTATATCACGCTGCGTTCTACTTATTGTTTGTAATATTTATAGTGTTAATAAGCTTTAGTTAAACTGCTTTTTATCAAGTTTAATCTTTATACAAACATTTTATTATTGCTTGATATATGAAACGATCTATATAATACATTCTTGAGCTTCAGTAAATTTGGGATTCTTATACAAAAATTAATGAAAACTAGGGTTATTTTGTTTTTACTATAATTTGAATAACATCTTCATAGAAGTTATGCACGTTGTTAACTACTTTCTTTAATCTTCATTTCCAACAGCAGCTCCTGTGGTGTAGTTGGTTATCGCATCTGCTTTACACGCAGAAGGTCTCCGGTTCGATCCCGGGCGGGAGCTTCTTTTTTAGGAACTTTCGTTTTTATTTTTTTCCATTTTTGACCAATCAAATTCGCCGTTGCTATCATGCAGTTATTTTAATCTTATACAAACAGACAAAGCTCTTTATATTTTAATGCTGGTTTTAATTTATAGTTGTCTAGAGTTGAAGCGTTACCCAAGGTAGTAAAAATCTATGAGGCACTGATATTGAATGTGAAATTGGACAAACTACCTTCACAGTATATAGAATAATGCCTCTCTCCACTTTTCATCCGATGTGGTATAGTAATATTATGCGTTTTGCTTTTGATACTGGTTTTCACTTTAATAGACTAAATTTCACGATGACAATCTCTTTAATATGAAGAGCGCAAAAATATTCAATAAACCATGTTGCTAAAACAAAGTTGTCTGAAATGAATGGTGAATATCCATGGAATGACTAAGTCAGAGTACGATTTAATGCCAAGTTACAAACGTTGGACACGGTGTCTGAAAAGAAACATGTAGTAAGAATCACTGATACTAGAGTTAACGTAACGTAGTATCTTTAGAAGGGATATAGTGTTCTTCCATATTCGAGTCAAATGGCCGTCATTGTAGCAGTGCATGCTACAGATAGGTCTTTATGACCTTGTGTGCGGATTGGCCTGTATAGGCGACGATTAAGATAGCGATCTTTTGTACTTCATTTATTTGTACATTTATTCTCCGCGCACAGACGTTGTATATAAAGACGGATACTGAAATCTCAGGATCCTCACGTTTCTGATATTGGCAAAACGGTAACCACTTCTGACACATTCCTCACTACAGCGCTTTCTCTCCCATATCATCTATACTTAAGAATGGGTTACTAACAGCTTCCGAAAGTCAACCAATACATCTTATATTGCTCGTTGCTTATAGTAGCAGCTAAGACAGCACAAAATATCTTGTCCGCAGCATATGGTAAAAGGGAAAGTGGACTGGGCCATTATGATTTTACCGGGGTTACTCTGTGGCATCTGTTAGGATCTGTTTTCAGTTCAACCCCTTCTATAGCCCGAACATCTCGACGGAGTAATCCATTGATTGTATATTGCACAATTAATGCTCTTATCTGCAGACGCCAGGTTTGATGCCTGCTATCTTCAATTACAAGCGAACTTGCAATTCCAGCGTATATGGGCTGGTACCCGCGTGCGTGTCTTATCCGGGGCAGCACGGGGGTGTGTATAACAGATGAGCGGTAATGTTAGCCGGTTGTAAATGAACGCCGGCCAAAGAGCTGAATGGTAAAAAAAAAAATTCTCCCAGTCAATAAACTGCTTGCTTCAACTACACATAAACCCGCCTAAGATATTGTTGGCACCTTAATTGGGGAATAATGATGGGCTCACTTTGAGACCTGGCAGAGAAAGCCTGGGAAGTCTAATAAGTAATAGCTCCTATTTGGCAGTATAATTTACTAAGAATGAGTAAAAGGGTAATATCCCTCAACAGGATATGTGGGGCAATGATGAAGTTGAACACTTCGGAGACAGAGAGCCAATATCATCGTTATAGGTCTGGATGTTGGTACTGAATGCTTTCCAGCTTCAGTAACGGTAATGTGCGATTGACTAGAAGGTTGTGGTGCGGTCATAGAAGAAGTAATTTTATTTAACTTTGCAGACAACAAAGGGTGAAGATAGTATTATTAGGTATAGGTCTATAAGAAATTTTCGTAGTCGCATAATGGCAAGGTATGTGTATGGCCCTTGGTGTCATGTTGATGCACATTAAGGTAGAAGAAGGGGAATCTTTCCGGACGCATTTAACGTACATACAAAACAGAAGAGGATATATCCAATAAGGAAGAACTACCCTTAGGTTCTATATAAGAATGAACATTATCCTCCTGCTTGACATCTTCGACTTGGGGAAAGTTAATCCAAATGACAGGCACTTAGTAGAATGTACGTCTCTGATTTTGGGACATTATTCACTGGGTTCACCGGAAACAATGAGTTGGTGAGGCGAGAATGAGTTGTTCCATGCACTAAGAAGAATATCAGGCATTGTAATAACATGATGTTTGCTATGCTGGACCAGAGATTGCTAAAGCAAAAGGAAAAACTAAATAGTATTGTGACACATGCAATGCGGCAGGTTTGTAGTGTTAGAGTTACCTTCTATAGATTTCACTATTTGTTCTGCTTTGTATAATAGATTCGCACGAGCTGACCTATTGCGATCCTGGCCTGCGAGAACCTGAAAATGATATTTTTCGATGCTTTGCTGTCTAGGTACCTGGTAAACAAGAAAAAATGAACATGAGGGCGGGACAAAGTTATTGGAAAAAGGCGGGAGTGATCGGTGACAAGGCTAAGCACAGTCATCACTTAGGGCTCAAGCCAGGCAAAATTTCTGATTTAAAAAATGCTGAGACATGAACTCCGTCAACGGGTAGAAAGCTGCTTCTTCTTTTTCCTGAACTATGCGCGTCTTCGCTGTGCCCATTCTCAGCAATCGCTGGGCTTACTACTGTCATTCAACCATTCCAACCACCTCTCGTCTGACAAAGTTTGTGAGCTGGTCTAATAACAAATGGGATCAGTTGGGAACGGCTGATCCCAAGTCATGGAAAAGAAAGTTATTTGATCACGGAAACAACCTCATGAACCAGTTGGATTATCAGGAATGGTTTCTGAAAGGCGTTCCGACAAAGGAACATTTAGAGCAACAACTAGAGAAGGTTACGATATGCATAGAATACGTCTTACTGACATTATCCAGGCATGCGTGTACCACCCATCTATGCTCAAAGGTCCCGCGATACAAGACGATCTAGACTTGCTCCTACAGCACAGAGAGCCATATCACAAGAAGTACATGTACTATTCCGCCTACTGGGTTCCCATTTCATGTACATTTGTGATCGTTCCCTTAATCCCCAACATACCGCTTGCGTATAATTTATTCCGTTTGTATAGCCATTACAAAGGTAAGCATAACGCCGATGCACAGAAAACGGGAAAAACACTTAATTTTTTTTTTTCGTGTTAGCCTATAAGGGAGCACAGCATCTTCAATTTCTCTCGTACCACAACCGTTTGGAGTACACTCCGCATGAAAAACTGGATGAAACATTTAATGGTTGTTCGTTGTCATCAACATCCGATATCTCTTTTCCTGCAGAGGTTTCCGAGGCGTTCAAGCAACCTGGTTCAAAGCCCAGGCTCCACATATTGCAAAAGGATATTCCAGGGGCTCTTAGCTTAGAAACTATCAACGAATTAGCACATGAATTAGAGTTACCGGCACTGGAATTAGAGCTGAAACGTGCACGGTTCCAGATATTATGTGAAGCGGCGCACCAGAGATTCAATAATAGAAATAAGAAGGAATAGATTATCGTTTCGACGCATATCCATCAACCATTTGGTCAGGCGATCATTAGCTGTAAAGCAATGCGTTTTGCAGAGTAAGTCTTGGATTCAAGCTTCTTTGTCAGAATATACCTTTACCTGCAGTGCAAGTGGGTTCCATAACACTGCGGATTGCATATAGTCGAGCGAGCAGGTACTGCTGTGTATTAACGGTATTGACTAAGCCATAGCCAGGCTTTGCCATAAGCTGGCCGAACAACGTACTTCGTGCCTTACTAGTGTTGCGCATACGTGGTACTGGGAGGAGAATCCCGTGGCGCTTGTTTATCGACTTCTTGAATGCTGTATCTCTTTCTATAGTATCCTTGTGTGAAGAATTCTGTTAAAAAGTTACTGCTGATCTACCGATAGATGCTTAGTTCATCATTGTTAATATGGCAAGCTATCGATGTCAATTTTTAATATGATCAGTATTGGCGGACTTGTTCGTAGCATTAATCTACCCAAAAAGAAAAATCGACGGCATGGATGTTTAGGTAAGATGACATCATGGAGGATTACCGCAGTATATGATCAGCAATTGGTAGGGGAAAAGTAACCAGGTCAAGAACTATGTTATTGACAGATGATATTTTAACAAGCCTTTTTTGCGGTCCTCTTTTGTAGAAACCTCATTGGGTTCCACCAACAAAGCATGAATGCGACGGTTAGTCACTCTTGAATCCCTTTTTAATCATAAGCCGTTTTCTACGTTTTCAATGGGTAGCCCTTATTCATTAGTCATAGTATGAATAAACGAGGGCATTGGGCAACCGTGGTACGTCAACAACCTGAAAGTGTTCTGTCATGTTATGGAATGTTTTTTTTTCAGTTTGTACATTGGATTTAGTTTGAGTTACTATAAGAGGAATTAAATACACTATTGGGAGTACACTTCAATCCATAGCTTCGCGCTTGTGATGGATTCTTGCATCATAAGGAGTTTGGGACATTTCGGGGTCTGCATTAAGTTTAGCATATTGCACCACGTTCAGTGACTTGTAATAGTTAGTAATGACAATTGCAAAGTATATCTAAATGAATGCAATCAATAAAATGGCTTAACGGCGTGTCGTTACTGCTTTACATGAACTAGTCGAAGGATGGCGAGCAATGCAATGCTGACGACGCTTTCCATACGAAACATTTCGTCGTGTTCTTGTTGTTTCAAGACATTATCTGCCAATTCTGGCAGACTGTGGTCAGTGAACATATACCATTTGATAGCGAACCAGACTGTGGTGGCGATGCAAACGACGCAATCGATCCAAAAATAAACACTATACCACCGGAGAATTCGAACATTGTCCTACTCGGTTCCCGTATGTTAGGTACTGTTGAGAATAAAAACAATTAGACAACGTACTGTATGCAAACCATAGAAGCCTTGAACAAAGACGAGGGTTGACAGAAGAGAATAAAGATACACAGTGAAGGCGGTTACATCGCTAAAGTCAAATGAAATGATACCGTAGAATCCCGAGAGTTTGTTGAGCTAAATTCAGAATTTGGTTGTTAGTCTCAATTGGATAAACATGCAGCGCATTACAATGCCGATGATGGTGATGATAATTGCACCTATTCAAGTCGTATTGCTTTAGAAGGGATTGCCATTGCCTGAACCGA